TCTTTATACTTAAAAAGAGATTCCTGTCAATGAAAGGGCTGTGAGGAAAAGAAGGACATGTTTCATGTCCATAGGGATAGGGAACCTCTCACCTGATTCTGTGCAGGAATGTTCCGAGGAATTAGGGAAACAATGTAGAGTTTAACTGGCTGCTTGATACATTGTACAGTAAAGGAATCACAAGAGGGCTTCTGATGTAGAAGGAATATCTGGACTTGGGCAAAGAGCTTGGTTCATGTAAGTTAGGTATGTGAAGAGCTAAGCACTGAACCTAACCCTAATCTATTACTCATGGCCCCAAACTTTTAAAATCTGGTAAAATCCTAGAACTACAACCTAATCCTAAAGAAAAGGGAAGAACATTGGAAGAACTTATATCATCACAGTGCTGAGTATGCCAATCTGTAAGTTAGATATAATAACCCTTTTTCTATTTAAAATATCTGACTTTTATGTTGACATGTTTATGCAGCAGAAATAATCACATCGTTTCAGTTTTATTTCAAGTTATTTGTTTCTTGAATTTTGCAAACGTACTCATTTCTTCTATTATTTCTTGTACATGGGTATCATATCTTTTGGATTTTCATCCAAAGACATACGAGCCCTATGAATAATAACTCTTCTTGATATTTTAATTTTTTCAATATTTCTCTGTCAGGTACCATTCAACACACAGAACCTTGCCACTTACTTGGGCAGAGAAAATGTAACGTTACTATATTTTAATCCCATGTAAAGCTTTTGAGTAAGCAACTGAAAAGAGACAACTAATATATCACAGAAGTAGCAAGTGAAGGCAGCAGCTAGACACTTTGTATGGCTCTGGTGCTGTGGGATGAAAGAGAAGACGTTCAAGTTAATAGAATTGAGAAATCAGAGGGGGTCAGAACCATATCAATTTTATAAGGCGGACAAAGAGTTCATCTGATTAGGACCTCTGAGCTCAGAGGAGGTCTCTGTGGAGTCAGGCACTAGCTATGTGAAGAAGAATGTAAACTTGCCACATTTCTTTCAGGTGGAAGGCATAGTTAGATAGGAAATGAAAGATTTTAAAACCTTCATACTGCATTCAGGAATGTGCTATTGCTTCCTGAGTGAGGAAAAATCTAAAGCATGATAGTTAGAAGCCAAGGAGCTCAGAGAAAGCAAACTGGAAGAAAATAAGTAGCATTTCCATTATTCGATTTTCCATTCTCTTTGTAGGTTGTCCCCTTCTTAGCATAACTGATTTGACCATTAATCATGATATTTCAACTTGATGGGATTAAGAAAAGATTAGGAACGCACAGATTTGGATGTGTTTAGAGGGTATTTCTAGAGGCCACCAGCACATAGGCCAACCACCTGAGTGGTTCCTAAGTGTGTGGGGCACCATCCCAGGGGATTGTGGACAGGATTGTGGAATAAAAATGAGAGAGGAAGTCTGCTATACTTTGGAAGCTCCATTCTACTTGAACGAGCACACCTTTTGCTCTCATTGCCTGTGGATATCAGACTCCAGCTTTTCAACCTTAAACACAAACACATGCCAGCAGCTCTCTAGGGAACTTCTCAGTGATGGAGAACCTTTTACAGCTTTCAGTGATTCAAGCACCTCCCTGCAGCACCTGTGCCATAGGTTCACCATTACTGTCTCGCTCATGGGTCTCAGAAGGTGCTGCATCCTTGTTCCCTCTCATTCTGTAGGTTCTGGCTCTTCTCTCTGAGCACCTCCTGAATCCTCTGGGTTGTTAGCATACATACAGCTACTGTGGACTCTCCGTGCCACTAATCTTGTAAGTTTACCTAATAAATTCCTTTCTTGTGTTCCTCTAGAGATCCCTAACCAATACAAAGTAGAAAAATAAGAATATAGTATATAGAAATTTACGGGTGAGCAAATTAAGCTTAATAAATTGGAACACTTACATATGTGTTAACCAATTGCATTAATTAAAACTTTCCACACAATTTTATATAAAAATATTTTAAAGGTTATTACATGTCTTTTATTTTAAACACCATGCTTTTTATCATGTTTTATATCTGTAAATAAACTATATTGATTTTAATATGTTGAAATTAACTTTATCAATTATAGCATCCTTAAAAATATAAAACACATTTTACTCCAATCACACAATGGAAGTAAGTATGGCTAGACACTTTAGGTAAAGTCTGAGTAAATGAATAAATAAAAATAGCCTTACTTAAAATCTATGCTGAGTAATGTTCTAAGTACTTTTGCTTTTAGTATCACTTGATTCATATTGCCTTGATTTTATTTTCTTAGAATGCAGAATAGTATTTACACAAAATGGACTTTTTTCTATTTAATCCCTGGTTTATTCCTATAAAGAAAAATTTCAAGATAAAAGAGAGAAGTAAGGTATCAGATCACTAACTGTAAAATGTATGCATGTAAACAATTCATATCTGCTGTGTGAAAACTACATTGCAGACACTGCTCATAGCAAAGAAAGCAAAACAGTATACACCTGATATGAAAGAAATTGTGATTTCCCAGATAAGAAGGGATATAAACAAATGAATATATACAGAACTGCAGAAAATGTAAAAGCTCTCAAAAGTGCTTCAGTCTGTATGAGTCTTCCTTGATGTAAGTACACATGTAGGCAGTTTGAAAATCAGCTAAACCTGCCATATTTTAAAGCTGCCATTTTCTTACACAGTGAGTCTCAGAATCATACTAGAAAGTGCTAAGCCAAACTGGAATATCTTTCAGTCAGCCAGAAAGTTCTTTACAATTTCTAGTATCATTTGTTTTGCCCTCAATTATTACTGTATTATGCATACCTTCTTAACATAAGAAAGTATGTGAGTGTGCATCTGTGTGCTGTGTGTATAGGGAGAGGTAAAATGCACAAATAATACTATGAAGAAATTGTAAAGAATTTTCCACCAGAGAAACAGTGTGAAATGAAATATGAAATGAATGCACGGGGCTGGGGATTTAGCTCAGTGGCGCAGCACCTGCCTGGCAAGGTTGTGAGTTCAATTCCTGGTACTGGAAAAAAATTAAAAGAAAAAAAAAGAATGGAAGCATAATATGTGAATATATAATTACAGAAATCCCAGGAAAAAAATCCCAGCTGGAGTATTTTGCAAAGTAATTTCCAAATACAAGAGGTCTGTATATAGTGCATAATTTCCCAAGTATTTTAATTGGTAAAACACAGGACTTCCTCTTAGTGGCTTCAATATATTACCCACATACCAATGCTTTAAAAATACACATAATATTTCAAATTTATACAGGCAAAAATCAGTTCCACCTCAACCAACGACCTCTAATTCAGATGGTTTCTCCGACTACACATTTATAACACAGATTCCTTCTGATATGTATAGATTTCTCCCCATGTGTAACTTAGCAATTTTTAGCAAACACCACAGAGTATTATTTAATCCAAGAGTGTCCTCACACTATTTACTGCCACTACTTACTGCATTCAAGGCCAAGTCCCACAGCCCGTAGTTTTCCACAAACACTTTAGATCCCAGTCAAAAGCCCTAGGTCATTCTGACCACTGCTTCTAGCTACCCTAGCTGAAAACTGGGGTTTTCACCGCACTCTCCTTGAATTTAATTTATTTTCATTTTTCACTGAAAGTAAGGAAACATTCACTTACAGCTGGTTTTGTTACAAAGGATACTGATAAATCAAAACATGGGGGAAGTTTGAGGGAAGGGGACGGCAATTCACAGACTTCTCCTGGGGCACTTCCCTCCAGGATCCAACTGCGTTCAGCTGTCTACACTTTCTCTACTCTCTGCCCTTTGGAGATATGATGGAGATTTTCTTATGTAGTTATAACTGCCAATAGACTGGGTGGGGAAATCCAGGAATACCTCTTCATATTCTTCTTGATCTCTCTGTGAAATGTTGTTTCTTCTAGGGCATCAGGCAGGACCCCTCTAGCATAAGGAGGACCTATGCACCAACAAGGTAGGTCAGAGTTCTGAGTCAAAACCATGGACAGTACTACAAATATACGGCGATTCTTCTTATCATTTATTTTATTTTTTATTGCAAGATATTTTGAAAATAGAAAGTGCAAAAATTTAAAATTCTAAACTTCTAAGAATATTATTTTTGCTTTTTCTATTTCTCATTTCTAATCATTGACAAAGTAACTTTGAGTCTATTGCAACTTTCCAGCTAAATAAAAAAGATGTGTTTATCTCCTTATGTTAGTTGGTCTTTTGACATCATCTGGTAACTTTAGCCTAAGGATTCCTCTTAAAATACACTCTTATTTTGGCTTAGGAGTTATTAAATTTCCTTGGGATACATCTCCCATAGTTTCAGTTATTAAATTTTGTTCCAAATACATACAAACCTAAGTTAAATGTGTGTGTGTGTGTGTGTGTGTGTGTGTTGGTACTGCCTATAATTCACACTCTTAGCCCAAAAGAATGCACTTTAATTTCTGTCACTTTTTATCTAAATGAAAAATATCTGCATAAATGCACTTGCTGAATTCCAAACTTAACCATAAACCCTGATCCTGAACTATCACCCTAATTGTTAATTATGCCTTTATATATTGTACATATCATACACTGAAGCTCTTGTTTTACTTCTAGAACATACCTACCAGAGACTTCATAATCAAATATTCAGCACTCCGGGTTTCATACACGGTGATTAATTTCAGTTCTTTGAGACAGCAGGATGAGAACATTTTTGAGTTTGCCTCTCTCGTTCCTCTGAAGTTAATAGTGTCTGGTGGCAGAAGGTTGACTGCTGCACCACAGTGGGATTTGCAGAGTGCATCAGTTCTTCAAAGAAATAGCTGAGATGCCCAGCATTTCAATGTGCACTGGCCACAGCTTGTGATATTTCTGTGCTTCGCGTGTGCCTGTCTTCAGAGCAGAAACTCCCTGTAGAATGGACCTTGACCCCATCTACCCGGACAGGTTGATATATTCATTTTCTCCCAGGGCTCTTGACATCTCCCACAAAGTTTTGGCACTTTGCCACAAAACCCATGTGTCTTGCACTTTTCTCTTCTCTCCCATACCCAGTATAGTTACCTTTTGGTAAAAGAAACAGTGGTGTCACATCTAAGTGATACTTCGGTCAATGACTTCTGCAATGTGCTCTGTGTCGTCTTTCTTTAACCTACAACATAAAATACACTAAATTTCATTAGCACTTTAAAGTAAAATGCCAGAATGCCATTAAGGCTATTTTAATTTTTTTATTCTTTACCTTCAAAGGCAAAATGAACTGGTTATGCTTGAATAGAAAGAAAAAATGTATATATATATATACATATTTATACAAAATATAATGTTACATACAGAAACATATAAAATATGTAACATAAAATACTATAATTTTCCACGGTATTTTGGAACCACACATGTTTCCACTGCCTTTGTATTCTCATTTATGTATTAGTGATATTGAGGAGATATATATATATATGGAGAGACAGACAGACAGACAGACACAGAGAGAGAGAGATTTACTGTGTTAAACCTTTCCCTGTCTTGCTCATGTGCATACATAACTCCCATGATTTTCTGTGGAAAATTTGCTTATCCCTGTGGACAGAAAGAGAGCAGCATTCATATCAAAGATAAGGACAATTATTGCTTAATTGAAAACTCTTCATAAAGATTATCTTATCTCTTGGGTTACATTGGAAAACATAGCACTATTCAGAGATTAGGTTTAGATTTAATATAGAATTTTTTTAGGAAACTGACAATTAAAAGCAACGTAAACAGATCTCTTAATATTGTGTGGATGTTTTAGGCTTTTTTTATCAGAGATTTAATCTTTTCAATGTGTTATTGGGCAGGAACCAAAGCCAAGTATATTTCACCAGCAAAGCTTTAGAGTTATTTTCAAACTGTTCAATGGGATGTGTTATTAAAGTTACAAAACGCTGTTCTAAGTCTGTTAACATGAGTAATTTTTCTTAAAAACCATAAATGCATTTGAGTTATAAAGGAAAATATTTATGTGAACAAGCAAATTAGGTTGCTGGCTCTATCTACTTGGAACATCAGTTCACAGTGCTCTATATTTTCGTTTGTTTCATGGATCAGCTCACAGTTAGAACAAAACTGAAAGTTAAATCCTTTATGTTCTTGGCTGAATAATACTCTGAGTTGCTTCCATTGAAGCTTCACTGATTTCTCATATTAAATTCTAAACATACACTTTTTATGGGAAAAAAGTTAAAATAAAATTTTATAACAAAGTAGTAGGTAAATAACAATAGTTAATACATTACATATTGTTATCTTTAAAGTAGTTGCTCAAGTACAAGGTATGAGCATAAGAATTTCTCCAATCGATAATAGCACAAACCTTCCTTTTCAATGAACTAAAGGGCTAACTGATTCACATTTTTCCCCTTTTCCCCTACTGTCCTTTTGCCTTTCACCCATCTTAGTTCCTTTGGCTTTTGAACAATTTTTTTCTATTTTGCAACATCTATTTTACATTTTAGACCTTATTTACTCTTTCAGTTTCTCATACCAGGGAGACAATAAGATGTTTATATGTGAAGTCTGATTTACTTCACTTAATGAATATGGTCTAAATTTTCATCATTTGCCTATAAAAGTCTAAAGCTTATGCTTCTTTATGACTGAATAGAACTCTATTTTACAAAAAGATGACATATTTTTCATCCTTTCCTCGGTTGATAGGCATTTGAGTTATTTCCAAGATTTAGCTATTACAAATTGTGCTGCTATAAACATGGGTGCGCATATTCCTGTGGTCTGATGTTTTTAATTCTTCTGGGATGGTACCCAGAACAGGAATAGCTGAGTCAAATAGGACTTCCAATCCTAGTATTTTGAGGAATCTCTACACTGATTTCGATAGAGGTTGTACCAGTCTACAATCCCACCAACAATGGAGAGGGGTTCCTTTTTCCACACAGCTCCTCCAGTATTTGAAATTGGTTGACTTTGGGGCTGGGGATTTAGCTTAGCGGCAAAAGCGCCCGCCTGGCAAGCGCAAGGTCGTGAGTTTGGTTCCCGGTACCAGAGAAAAACCAAAAAAAAAAAAAAAAATTGGTTGATTTTTTCATGATGTCATTCTTTCTGGGGTGAGATGGAATCTCACTGTTGTTTTTATCTGCATCTCTAGAATGCTCAGTGATGTACATTTTTTCATATATATGTGTGTGTATGTATATATATATATGTGTATAAGCCATTTGCATTTCTTCATCTAACAAGTGCTGAGAAGTGTCTTTTCATCTCAGATATCCATTTTTTGATTGGGTCTTTGATTTTGGGGGGTCTGATTTTTTTTCAATTCTTCATATACTCTAGAGAGAAGTCCTTTGTCTGAGGAACAATTGCCTAAAATTTTTTGCCATTCTATGGGTTTTCTTTTCACTTCATGGGTGTTTTCTTTGCTGTGTAAGATCTTTTTAACAAGGTGATTTCCCAGTTGTTGATTCTTTGAAGTAGTCTGGGTTTTGTTCATGAACTCTACCCATACTTATGTCTTCAAGATTTCTACCTACTTTCTCTTCCAGTGGATTTAGTTAATCATATACTTCTAAAATACACATGATGCGCCTACTGGAGTGTGATACACTTTTACTTCATTCTTTAATGTGTAAATATTAATGCATAATATACACTGTTGACCCTTTGAGCAAGAAAAAAACCACTATTGCAATTATTTTCAACATCTGTATTGTTCGTTTCAAGCCTATTTCCCATTTCCATTCTTGAGCATTTAATCCCAAACTAATTAAAATGAATTGATACTATGGGAGATTTCACTATCTATGATTAGTTTTAATTAACTCTCCCTTTCTAGTAATTGTCACTGGTAAAGTACAGTGGTTAGCATGCTGCAGCACACAAGCCTTGTGTGGTCTGTACTTTGTTTTTAAATAAGTTGTATTAGAAAACAGCTATTCCTTTTTCTATAAGGATTTTCCATGCAGCTCTAGTATTACAGTCACAAAGTTGAATATATTTTGATGCAGATAGTATGCCCAGTGAGCCTAAAATATTCACTAAATGTCAGTTTGCAAAATTTGCTAAAATTTACTCTAGTATTATAATTCATTAAAACCTGAAATTCATATTCATGTGTAACAGTTGTTCTTGCATTTGGTAGACAAAGAATACATTTTCTTTCAATTCATAAAAACAGCACAGGGAATGACAGCAGGCATAAAGGGAAGATGGGCAGGGAAGAGACAATTTCAGAAGGGAGGATCTTGAAGAGAAAATAGCATTTCTGTTTTGTGGCCATTTGCCTAGGTGAGAGACAGTTCTTCCCAAACCCAAACTTTGCCTGAACATACAGCATGATATTGTCACACATGCGCACAAAGGTATATGAGTCACAGAAGTCTTACAGGAGAAAAGAGAATGCTTACTAAGGCTGGTCCACAATTAGCTTGGCATGAGAGAGAGAAAAAAAAACAGAGACTTACCTGAATTATGCTTGAGTCTGGGGTGGGGCTACAAGGAAGAATGATTTGAACATCCCTTAGCCAAACTGCAAGACTAACAAGGATTTTTCACTAGCTGGCCTAGGCAAAGGATAGACAGAGACGGAGGAATGGTCTGATACCAAAGCTGCCCTCTGTCAAACGTTGAAAATTGAGTCATTTGAACCTATAGTGTTTCTTGGAAAATTCTACTAGAATATAAAATTCAAATTTCATCTTTCAAGGCAACAGATATTGGCACACTTCTAGCTAAAATTCATACCTGAGCAAAATGAATAAAATAATATCAGATTTTTCCACCTGAAAAGTATCTGATGAAGTTCAGAAGAAATTTTGTGTAAGAACACTAGAAAAAAAACTATAGAGAAAACAAATGTATGCTGTCATATTTTAGTGATTTATATTGTTATTAGTAGCTACTGCTTTTGAATATGCTCCTATTTGAGAAAATAGATTCTGATTATTAGAATAAGGTTTTATAAATGGTTCTAAATTATTTTTCAAAAATAATTGCAAACCAGCTTTTGTTTTATTTTATCAGTAATTTTTCTGTCAGACAAAAAAAGAAAACAGTATTTTGAAATCATTTCTACCATCACTTGAGAGAGGGCTATGAAATGATAGCACCATAACTTCCAGGTACAGTTTGACATAGCTGTGTAATAGAACTCAGGGTAAAAATCTTGAACATCAATAATGAAAGAATCAAATAGTTAAACACTGCATCAATTACACTACTAAAATAGACACTGCAGAACATGCTTCATATAAATGCCCTGCTGCTTGCAGGTGGAGGCAATGATAAATATCTTCTAATTGAAACATTTTACAACCATTTTTAGAATTTAATTTATGGCTGAAAATATGCATTCCAATGGCAACTCACTTGACATTTACAAGCTGAAAAGGAACCTGCCTTCCTTATTGCTTGGGGTTATAAAAATGACGATAATAAGAGTCTCTAGAAATTCTGCAACCAAGTGTTCACCTCTAGCCACATATAAAGAAAGCTCTCAAAAATTGTCAATAAGAAAGGGCCACAATGAATTTTGTTGTACTTTTGAAACAGACAATGACAAAATTGTGTAGTTGAATGCAAGGACAAGCTATAACAAATCTCAGTGTCTTTAACAATTATGCAAAAGTTGCCTTAAATAATATATTTTGAGATATTTATTATGTTACATCTTGTTTTGAATTGGCACATAATTGAATAATAGCTATTTCATTTCAAGGGGGCATTTTTTATATTTAAGATACATTTTTTGGTTGCTTCGGTAAAACCCAAGCATGACAGCAGCATAAGCAGATGAATTATGCATTTTAATCCTCAGTGAAATCAGTACTACCAGACTATATCACCTGAATAATAAATATACCATTTAAACACTTTAGATTTTCTTAATTCTCTACTTGAACTCTTATCTTGATTCTATTCTTTTTTTTTTTTTTTTTTTTTTTTTTTTTTTTTTTTTTTTT